ATTAATTAGTAGAAAAGTTAATTGAAATTAGCCTGGACCGGTTGTTCTAATTCTTCCAAACACTTAAAAGACCGGTGTTGTAGATTTGAATCCGGTAAATTATTAAATTTGAGAAAAACAAAAGGGTTCAGTGACTAATCCATAGGATTGAGGAATTGATTAATTCCTTAGGGCCCTTAATGAATTATTGTTCAAAGAAGACACATAGGACTGTATTCCAAAGAAATTAGAAGGGACCAAACCCAATAATTGGGGGTGGGAGGAAATAAACATACAAAGAAAAATCAAAATCAAAATCAAAATTGAAGAAGAAGAAAAGATAAAATAAAATAAAAATAAAAGTACAAGGGGAAAATAGGTGGCAGCCAATGCAGCCATGAATGAAGGTGAAGTAGACATTCTAATTCTCCCTCCCTCTGAGCCTGCGAAGGTGGATTTTGAGTTTTGAAGGAGAATCTTTTGGAAATATTTGAGGAATCAAGGGCAAGAGAGAGGGGAAGCGCTGCTGTAGGGAGAAGGGAGAAAGAGACGTGGTGTGCCAGGACAATGAGACTAGATTTAGGAGTTGGGTGAGCTCGGGGTGTGGGTCGGCATGATCTTGGAGCATGAAGAAGGAGTGCGTGGTTAGGTCATGCGAGGGAAGTGCCCAGCGCGCGAAGTGAGTGGGAAGGAGGAAGTCGTGAGCACCAGCCGAAGGAGGTGATGAGCACGGTCATAGGGCGGCTGGCGGAAGGGCGTCGAGAGTGTGAGTAAGGAGGCCAATCGGCAGCGGAAGAGGAGCGCGATTGTGAAGATCAGAGCAAGCAAGGTCTTTAGGAGCTCGATGAGCAAGAGAGTGGCATTGGCATCTGAAAACCAAGCGACGTCGAGATTACGGCGGAGACGACTAAGGCGAGGCTCTGTGCGATGTCGACGTCGACGTCGATGTGGTGATAGAGCGGCTGCGGCGAGCCCCGAACAAGATCAATGCGAGTACCGTAAGGGACAGCAACGGCGTGGCGCAAAGGGGAAGCGTGAGGAGTTGTGATGACGGAGCCAAGCTATAGAACAAGGCAAGAGTGAGGGTGAGGAAGGACCAACGTAGAAGCTGGAGCTGAATTTTCAGCACGCTTCATCTTGAGGTTTGTTGTGTGTTACGTGGGCATGGTGTATTGTTGAAGTGGTGTATTGATCAGATGTTGCTTGAATTCTTACACAATTTTATGGATCTCATATTGAGTGCGGAAGCGCTGTTGGATTTTCCTTAGGATTTATAAGTTAGGGCAAATTTGAGCTTGTGAATGCTTCATTGCATTGGCGTCAGCTATGCACAAAGGTTAATGGTTAATCACTAGTCCAAAACCGAGATATCCTTGTTTAAGCAATTCATGAGTTGAAAACGATGTCAGGTTTACGACATTAAATCACTCTTGTATGAGTTAATTGGAATTGTTGGTGGTAATTGGTCAATTGGAGCACAAACGTGTTGGTTTGGCATGTGATTCTTTGCTGGTCCTATCATTGCATGTGGTTAGAATGGTCAAGGTCATGTTTTGAGAAGCTCATTATGTAGATCATGAAAAAACATTAATTCTAGCCAAAGAAAACGTTCAATTTGGGTCAATTTTGAAGAAGTTATGCTTAATTGATAAAAAGAATTAATCCAAGGTAAGGAAAATTAATTAAAAAGTGAAAGGAAAGTGGAAAGAAAAAGAAAAGTAAACATTCATATTTTTCCTTTGCATTCATATATGCAATAGCTTATACAGAATGCGGCTGTTCTAAAATCATCTTCAACTTTGTTAAGACATATCTCTTTTGGACAAATGCCATGCCCAATGCGCCAATCTGTGCATTACTAGTGGTACAATGCATCGTCGAGTTGCAATTCACCACAAGAGCCGCACCATTTGGTGATTTGAAACACATATGGTATTACTGTAACTAAATCGATGGAAAGTCTTTCACCTCAACACCGCTGTCTACTTAACATATAAAGCATAATTTGTATCATTAATAAATATGCATGACAATATTGGTTTTTATGCATCAATCACCTTAAATTGTCCAAAAACATCTTCCTTAACTCTACAACTAAAAACTTGAGAATAATATTTTGGTTTTTTTGCTAAAAATCTAAACAAATGTGAACAAATAAAAGAATACTTTACCAAGATCTACACAAAGACACACATATATATATCATTGAGTAAAAACGTGCCTGGGTAAAGCCACACGATGATGCCGAAACCATAGTCGTTAACATCATCATGAGGATTACAATTATAATCGTGAGTCAAAGAGAAACATGTGAAAGGGGTACCTGCAAATCTGCATTCCCCTTCCAGTATTCCTTTATTGATTAGAACTTTCAAGTCTTTCTATTGTAGTTGGAAAAAATTGCTCAAAATATCCAAATATTTCGTAAGGAAACTTCTCAACCAAATCATAAAGACAAAACTGAGGATGACTAAAACCTGTTAAGACAAAACACTTTGCTAGATACCAACCACCATTGAACTTGCTAAACCCTAAATTAGATGAAGAGGTGACTTTTCAAGATAAAAATAAAAAAAACAAAAATCAACAAGTATGTCAAAGGGAGATCACATGAAGAGGTGAATTTTCAAGGTAAAAAAAAATAAAAAATAAAATAAAAAAAATCAACAAGCATGCCAAATTGGAATCAGATGAACAAAGGTGACTTTTCAAAATAAAAATAAAAACCAAACCACAGCAAGCATGCCGAAGTGAAATCATATGAAGAAGTGACTTTTCAAATAAAAATAAAAATAACAAAACTCAACAAGCTGCCGTAGTGAAATCAGATGAAGAGAGGTGACTTTTAAAAAAAAAAAATCGCTGCAAGCCAGCCAAAATAAAATCACAAATGGTACAAACATACCTATTGCTTTCATGGTCATATAATACCTCAAATAATTTCAATTGTGATTGATTGAGGATAAGTTGAGCAAGTAGCTTATGACGCCAGCCATTATTGTGGCGCATGATATGCTGTTTATTGCATGGCATTTGTCCACATTTGCATGCTTCACACTAGTACAACAATTCGTTTCCACATTCGCTCTGACGAGGCATGACGTGCTACACAATGAAAAAAACACAAGAATTAAGCTCCAAATTCTAATTGATTACACTCTAAGATTACATTGTAAAAAAAATACCTACAAAAACTCAACAAGCATGCCGAAGGTACCCTTTCCAGATCACACCACCTTAAACATACTCCACTCTAGAAGTCAAGGTCTTAGTACGATGTGTCGCAGCATTATGTTCCAGGAGTGGCTAGAGTTTGCATAAGAGGGGCACCATCATTAAGTGGCAACCAACATTGCTTATGAGCCCCACTCCTCATGCCAAGGTCGTGCTTACTGCGCACGACGTTAACAAAAGAGGAACTTGGACAAATGAACAATGCAAATCCTTAGAGAGAATTCTAGAGACTATTACATAAAAGTTAGTGGAAATTATATGGCACAAAAATAAATGAAAAAAATTGCACATCACCATTCACTTGGAATTCATATTTCATCCACTATTTGATCCTACTAAAGGATGAACTCCGAGTTTCTTGATGAGCTTTGTGCTAATCTTTCTTTCATAAAATTAACTAGAGGTCACTTCGTAAGCCTATGCCATATTCTTGATTTCCGTATCACCGTTTTTAATCTTGGTTCTCTAAGACATGGCGTATAGCTTTTGAAAGGTGCAGGAGTTCAGAAAAACACTTGTAGGATATGAAATGAGAAGCATGAAGATGTGGCTTGGATGCAATCACAAATAAAAAAGCTTACGGTAAGGTATTGGATACTAGATGGAGCCAAATCCTAATGACATGTTGATTAGGACCTTTGCAAAGAGGAACCGCAGCTAAAATTCTAGACTCAAAGCCCAAATTCGATCTTTTTAGCTACAAGTTGTCACAAGGACTATTCTTTACTATTGTACCAGGGAGACTATGAAGTTCTCAAGTAAAACCTGAAATAAACCATGCTGAACGTGATGGAAGTAAACCTCCACGAATCAAGGTAGAGAACAACTGTAAGGTAGATCAGATCCCAACTTTGCGTATTTCTTCGGTCCCTCCTTCACTTGCAATGACGAAGAGAAAAGGCTAAGCAATTGAATTCCAAATTTAATGCAACCATAAAGCAACAGCGAAATAAGGTGAAATCACGTGACAACAATCACAACAACAAGTTCAGTAGTATATCAACCAATCCAATCCTCTACTATGTTTTTTTTTTTTTTTTGAAAAACTAAAAATTAAAAGATTAAAATAAAAAAACTCACAAGCTTCACCGCATTTTGACAATAAGAAGGGCACCACCATCAAGTGGTAACCAACATTCTATGCTTGTTATCACTCCGAAAGCCCTCACAATCATCCAATAAAGTGTTTCAATTCATTTAATTCAAAAAAATTGTGCATGACAAATAGATGATAATTCTCAAAAGCACTTTGGCAGAATCCAATGTCAAAGACCTATCTGCCACTTCAGTGCAATAACGCCCAGATTGTTTGTCAATGAAAGTAAGATTTCCTTAACAAAACTAAACCAGCTCATTGCAAACAACACAATTTCACTTAGACGCGAATTCCACAATTCCACTGATCCAATAGCTTTTAAGAGCAAGGAAAGAATGTTATGTGTTCTATTCATCTTACATCTACTCTTGATTTTATAAAATCCATGCCTTACCTTGGTGGTGGGCTGATTTTGGAAGGGAAGGAATGGCCAACCTTGTCACATGCTCGGTCACCTAGCCATCCCCAGTTGCCTAGGGGGCTCACTGCCTTTTAACATGGGAGGGCCAGAGCCTTTCACCCCCTAGCCTCCTAGACCAACCTTCTTGCCTAAGAATGGAGGAGGATCATCAAAAAGCGTGATATCTTTCTAGTGCATGACAGGTGCTGATAGGGTTGAAGCTATCTCAACTATTCAGGTGAGTGTTCTCTATCCAGAAGTACTGCCCAGAACAATACGGCTGCAAAAATGTGTATTTTTCTTCTTTAAAAATTATTGACCCGCACTAGATTGTAAAATATATTAACAAGCTTGATTTAACAACCTTGATTTTATTCTGCTCTAATGATGGGCTATATGGTGACAGAGGCAATTAGAACTGGCTATGTGCACCTTACGATCAACCTCAAGGATCTAGAGAGTGAAGTGGTAAGGATTTGGTTTTGTTGTTTTGATTCATGGTTTGTTGTCATCTTTCAGCGGAATTGGATTCTACCAATAGCAGGAAGAGATTCTATCAATTATGTGGAGTTGTTGTATATTGATATTTTTTTGAAGAAGTGTGTTGTTCAATATCATCTGTAATTGCAGTTGGGAATCCATCTTCTGTAGATTCAAAGCTGGAGCAGCAGCCTTGATCAAGCGCTTCAGCAATCACCTACAAAACTCTCAACTTTGGGAACGAGGTATCAAGAGAGCTGTGAACAAAGCTTTAAATAGAGCTGCACACCTCCCCAGGCAAGCATTGAAGGCAAATAAAATAGCTCCTGCTGATCCCACCCAAAGCTCAGGTATGCGAGAATGTCAAATTCCTGACGTCTAATTCCATTTGTAACAGCTATGAACGTTTGTGCTAAATGGACAATGCATGAAGCGTAATATCCAAGAACGTCTTTTTCAAATACACTTCAGGTTATTAGACATGGAAACTGAGTGGTTAAGGTTCAGAGATATACCTTTTCCTGACCATTCTTGCCGAATCGTCTAATTGCGCGCACACCAGCACCTGTCATGCACTAGAAAGATATCACGCTTCATAACCAGAATAGTTATAACTCAAAAATGTCCAACACATCACATTGAACTAGTTAGCAATGGCCAACTATGCAACTCGACTTGAAGGCATAAAGAAGATGTAGGTAATATAAGAAAGGGGTAAACCTACACTTGAGACCCCCATGCCTCGAGCTTTGAATTCTACGCCACACTCAACATATGCACATGAGTGCTGCAGAGCCTGCATGCTTGTGAGCTAGTGGTGATGATTCCTAGTTTTGTGACTGATGAGAGGCAAGCAGTCAGCTACAATTCCCTCTCTCTGACCTCAGTCAGGAACTTATTAGGGTTGAAGAGGTTGTTTGAGGTGACAACATTGAGGATAGAATGATTTAGCCCTTGAAGGTTGTTGTGTTCAAAAGTGACACTCCCAGCCGGTTGAATTGTAGATTGCACATCAATCAATGAGGGTTGAGGTGAGGAAAAGTCAAATACACTTCAAAAGAAGTGCCTAATTCTGAGACTAAATGTGCAAAAGGAATCTAAAGAAACTTACCAAGGTTGGCCGACCACCACTACCCGCAGTAATGCTCCACTCAGTGCTGACCTCCGTTATCCTTTATTCCAGCTCCTTGAATTTCACTTCCACCACACGTATTAGATGTGAAAGTCAGAGGTAAGCAAAGGAGAAAAAGTCAAAGCTACAGGCATATAGATATGGCCCAAAATAGTAACAAGATGGAACAACTCCTGTCAATACCTACCTGTCATAATTCACCTGTGGAGACATAGCAGCATGCCGTAATTGGGCCCCATCTTTCAGTAGACTTCACATGCCAACTGTCACACACTTAATTGGTTCTACAATTGTGTATAGATGAGGCTATCAAGGCATCTAGAGGCTGCTGTCAAACATCAACGTTGTCAGGCATCCGGAAATTTTTGAGCTGTAAAAAAACAAAAAACCATATCATTTATGCACTCGTGAAGAAAGTTGTGAGGGATCCAAAGGCTAAGATACAAAGAGGAGAAGTGGAGATGACTTTGCCCAAAAGCTCCGACTTTGCACCCTGTTCAACGAAATATTGTACAGTTGGCTGAAGGCCTAGAATCGTGTAGCCAAGAAGCTGCGGCCGCCGTAAGATCACCTTAACCGGCGCTTTCTCTCTCTCCCCCGCAACTTCCAAGCGCCACTCCCTCGATCTCTCTCCAGCTCCAAGCGTAGCTTATTTCTCTTCCCAACTCAGCAGCACCGCCGCTCTCTACCCTTCCTTCACCAACACCTCGGATTCGCCTCAACCAAGTCACACTTAAACCCTCACACTACCCTCATTGTTGCTCATCATGGCTCTCTCGCGCTTCCCATTAGTGCTCCTTGCTCGCGCTCCTGCCGCATTACAACCTTCTCTCCACCTACTGCCGACCCGGCAACGCCCCCAGAACTCCCCTGATCTCGCCCTCGCTCTCCGATTCCCACTCCACTATGCATCTCCTGCTCCTCGCTGCACCGCTTTCTGGCGGATCCACGCCCTACCCATCTCTCAATGCACAACTTGTCTCCTTTGATATCCTAGAATTTTCCTCCAACGTCCACAAAGAAACAGATTACTAAAAAACCAAAACCCTCCCGAGCAAGATTGTGGGGAAAGAGAAAGTAAAACAATTTCGATTAATTCTTCTACCACACCAAATTGGACTTGGCAAAAAACAATGGCCGCCTTTGGCAGGCCCGCCACCTTCCAATTTTTCCTGATTTTTATTTTTATTTTATTTTTATTTTTTTAAATGCGGATAATTCTCACTGGACTTTGGAATTAATTAAAGAGAAAAAGGAAAAGGATTCTTAGGAAATATCTCCCAAACCATGATTTTGATGAAGAAAAGGACTTCTAAATTTGAAATCTTGATACGTAAGTTAGTCTACTAGGGAAATTTGAAATTCGTTGATTTTCCTGGAAATTCTTGCAAATTCCTTAGGTTGTAGGACTAAATTGGGAAAATGAAGGAAATGAAAGAAATATTTGTTAAAGGCCGATTAATTTGGGAAAAATTATCTACTAATCAGGGATGATGGAATTTATTACAACCATGATACTTTAGATTTGGAACATTGAATTATTAATTCTTTTATTATAATTGGATAGAATTAATAAGGTAATTTGGATGATTATAAATCCTCTTTTGTTGCAAGATTGATTTAAATAGGCTATATACATTTGTTTAATTATAAATTTTGTAGTCAAGTACCTTATATCAAATGGATTATCATGGTGATGAATGGCAACTTTCTATAGTATACAAAATTCATTTCATCAAGAAAACTTAGTATTGCGATGTTATAAAATCAAGGTGCAAAAAAATTACTTACCTTCCTTCAAATGCTATGATCTTCCAATCCATGCTATCAAGAATTCTAAGAGCATCTTCACGTATTGTTCTAGTAGTCTTCAACAAGGTCTTGCAATTATAAGTGCAAAGGAATCATTATGTATATTATATGCTATTGGCAAAATAAATAAATATAGTTTTGAGGCACTATTTGAGAAATTTAGTCATGGATCTTTAGGAGTTAATAGAGATATCATAAAATTACCTTGTATGGGTAATTTAATGTCCCTTCTTTTGATTTAAATATTCCTTTTAGTTTGCTCTTAATTGTTATTAGATATGGAAGAGCTTGATTGCCTATCCTTATTAAGTGTGGTAAAGCTTTACAGTCTCTAATCATAAGGTGGAACTCTTTTATGCAACAGAATAGAAGCACAATTATCTCTCATGTTGTATCAAGTAGGTTAGTTGCCTTTTGTCTCTTTGAGCTTATTATAAAACTTCAAAGCTACACTGACTCACAAAATTGTCTCAATGTTTACTTATTCATCAGACTTTTTTTGATATCTCCACTCTACATGCCTTCATGGAGCCCATACTTTGAAAAAAAAAGTCAGTAGTATGTTTTAATTATACAGTGTAAAAGCCATAGCAATTGCACTAGTAAAAAAATTTTAGCCAAAAAAATGTATGTATGATACATTGAAACAATTTTGTGACTTGTAAGTCAATACTTTGTTGTACTGCCCTTTGCCTTCAAAACCACCTGCATGAGGCGAGGCATGTTGTCCACTAGATTCAAAATCACTTCTTGGCTTATGTCCTCCAATTCCTTCTCAACCCTCTCGCTGTCACAGACATACTCTTGTAAGCCAATAATTACATATATAAATAGGTAGAAGTAAATAAAAGTAGGTAAAAGAAAGTTAATTCTATAGTATTTCATATAGAAGCTTCTTAGAAGCTTTATAGATGTTGCTTTGACTTTATAGGTGTCTTTAATTGACTTTTTGGAATTAGAAACGTGGTCAACAAGTTGGCCATGTACCACACATGTTATTAGCTTGAAGACCAAGCTAACTATGTGGCCCACATGTAAAAAACTTACCTTGTAAGTCAAGGCATGTGTCCTATAAAGTCAACACATATTAGAGGTCCTATAGAACATCACCATGTAGCTCCTAGTTAGATAGTATATATAGAGACAAGAGTAAAGGATTCTTCACTCTTGTCAACTTTTTTCTTGCTTCCAGTCTAGTTTCAAGGGTCTCTAGTTTTCTTGGATTTTTGGCAATAGCCATTCCAGTTTTTTTTTTAATATATATATCAAGTTATTTCTATTTTGTCATCTTTCTTTGAGAGAAGTCTCACTCATTTATTTGTCTTTATCATATTCTTGTCCTTGACAGATTGACAAGAGTACATTTATAATATCAAAGCTTTATCTAATCTTGATTATGAGTGCATTACTTCTTTTTCTTGATAAGACATGAGTATATTAGAAGTTCCAAATTATCTTCTTCTAAATTGATATTGTCCTTAGTATTTTCTTTATTCTCAAGTTCTTTCTTCTATTTGTCTTCGGGATATTAGACATCTTCTCTTTTTTAAGTGTTATCATAGCAGAACTTGTTGAAATGAAGAGTGCAATGGCACAAATATAAGAGCAATTGAGGGAGTTAATGCTTGCGATGCATTAACTCAATTTACCACCACAAAGAGCAACAAGACTGGCAGGAAGTGAAGATATAGAAATGATCAAAGCTGCTTCAACATCTGCACCCAATCATGTCCGTTATCTTATGGTGGAACGCCCTTCTAGTATTAGAGAATCAAGAATTGCCTTGCCCAAGAAATTTGATGGCATCAGATTAAAATTTAGAGGATTTATCAATCAAGTACAACTTGTGATTGAACTTCAATCCCAAAGCTATCCAACTCTAGGATCGCAAGTTAGATTCATTGGTATACTGCTTTCAAGTTCAGCATTATTATAGTTTTCATCTTTTCTTGAACGACGAGATCCAATATTGGATAATCTAAAGGCTTTTCTGGCAGAGTTTCAATCCATGTATGGAGAACATGATGCAATTCGTGTTGCAACCAATAAGATCCATATTTTACGATAAGACAATTGATCAATAATGTTGTATGCTTCACAATTTCGACAACTTGTAACTGATATCAAGTGGGATGATGCTGCACTGATTAGCCAATTTTTCTACGGATTATAATATGAGGTGAAAAAATTCATGCTCAACTTACTTGATCCTCAAACATTGAGTCAAGCAATTGACTTTACTATGAAGTGCGACAATCACCTTTTTGAATTTTGATCTGAGAACCGTACAAGTGGACCTCAATGTTACTATAATTCAATAGCAACACCAACATCTCTTCAATACATACATTCGAAAGTAGAGGATATGTAAATTCATGTAATACGTTTCAAACCTCTTACTAAGCAAGAAAAGAATCGTCATTGACCAGAAGGATTGTGCTTATATTGTGGAAAACCTAAGCACAATGCTCAACATTGTTCAAAGAAGCGACGCAACCATAAAATGAGGAGTACTGCAATCAAAGGAGATAACATTTCAGAAAATGAATTTGTCCAGCTACAATAGAGATCGTGCGGCTGGAACCTTTTACAACGCCTAGTGAAGGTCATATCCTCTCCTCAGAACCCTCTCCATGTTTTACAATAAATCTTATTCTAGGACCTAAACATCTCAAAGGCTCTACCTTGCTAGATTCAGGAGCCTCAGCATGTTTCTTAGATGAAAAATTTGCTAAAAGACATAGCATATTTTTAGTAAAAAAAATTAAACCTATTCATGTAGAAGTCATAGATGGTCATCCGTTGTCTTCATGAGATGTTATTCATGAAACCCTTCCTATAGAATTAACAACTAATGGTCATAGTAGCTTTGTAATATTTAATATCATTAGATCTCTTTTTAATCCAATCATTTTAGATTTATCATGGCTAGAAAAATATAATCCTAAAATAGATTGGACTTCTCATAGTCTTGACTTTTTTGAAAGTATAACTAAGAGTGTAGTTAATCAAGTAGAAAGTCATAAGTCTAGTATAATAAAACCTATATTTGAGGTACAAGTACTTTCTTGTATCCTGCAAAAGAAGAATCACCTTGAGTCATTTATGCCACACCTATTTCTACCGATGGAAAGACTTCAAGAAGAATTCTAAGCCAATATCAAGATTTTCAAGATGTATTTGAGAAAAAAAATGTAGATACTCTTCTAGAACTTGATTCATATGATTGCTCAATTAACCTTTAAGAAAGAGCACAACCGCCATTTGGACCAATCTACAATTTATCTCAAAATGAGTTAGCTGAACTCAAGGAGTATATTGAAGAGAATTTGGCCAAGAACTTCATATGCTATTTCAAATTTCCAACAGAAACTCCAATTTTATTTATGAAGAAAAAAGATAGATCATTGTGGATGTATGTTGATTATCGAGGACTCAACAAAATCACTAACAAAATCAGGTACCCGCTACCTTTGATATCTAGACTTCTTGATTAGTTGAATCAAGTTAAGATCTATATAAAAATAGATCCATGGGGAGTATATAATTTGGTACGCATCAAAGAAGGAGATGAATGAAAGACTGCGTTTCGAACAAGGAATGGACATTTCGAATACAATGTCATGCCTTTTGGACTTACAAATGCACCAACAGCATTCCAACATCTAATGAATGATGTCTTTTGGGAGTTTTTAGATGATTTTGTTGTGTGTCACCTAGATGACATCTTAATCTATTCTAAGAACCCAGAAGAATATGAACTTCATATTCGCCAAGTATTACAAAAACTAAGAGATGCAGGACTTTATGTCAAGATAGAAAAGTGTGTATTTCACACTACTGAAGTCAACTTCTTAGGATACATCATTTCAAATAATGGACTTATGATGGATCTTAAGAAAGTTCAAATTATTATGAATTAGAAGATCTCAAAAACGGTAAGAGATATCCAATGCTTTTTGGGATTTGCGAACTACTATCAGATCTTCATTAAAGACTTCTCTCAAGTTGCAACTCCATTTACACGTTTGACTTACAAAGACAAACTTCAATTGAATCAAGAAGTACAAATAGCATTTGATGCTTTGAAGACAACCTTTTTTTCTACATCAATCTTCTATCGCATCGATTTTTTTAAGCCATTTATTATGGAAATAGATGCATTGGACTTTACTTTGAGTACCGTATTGTCACAAATGGGAACATATGATAAACTTCACTCAATAGTTTTTCATTCCAAAAAAATTTTAGCAGACGAGATCAACTACGAGATCTATGACAAAGAATT